TAGCCTTTTGATCTGCGCGACCGAGATGACACACATTTAATATGGAAAGTGACAGGCGCTCCATCGTAGCAGAAAAAGCAACCTGCGGTCCTTTAGAAGTGGCGCACGTTGTGCGACACGACGTGCTTCGAGCCACCAAAGGCTCGCCATGTGGATCACACTCACCTTACACTAGAGGCCCAACTGAAAAAGCCTAGATGATAACCATCGGGTCTGCCAAAGCCACATGAAATTTGACTGACGAACAGTCGCAATGGTATGAAATTCGCGCCCCTAGGCGGAAATGGCCTCGTGGACGGGTTGCACGAGTGCCACACACATGGGTCAAACGTAACTGCCCAGGCACCTCGAGCCCCGCAGCGGGTTATACGGAACTCGCGGCCGTGGACGATAAGTGGCCGTCTCGAAAACAATCTCAGCCAGCAAACGGCACGCAAGGCTACATCTCTTTTTGTTTGCATGATTGTGTGATTTCTTGTTTGCATGATTGTGTGATTTCGTGCTTGCATGATTGTGTGATTTCTTGCTTGCATGATTATGTGATTATTTGTTTGCATGATTGTGTGGTTAGTTGCTTGCATGATTGTGTGATTTCTTGTTTACTTGATTGTGTGGTTCCTTGCTAGTATGATTATGCAATTTTTCTGTTCGGGTAGTAGTTTAATTTCTCTCTCTCATCACGGCCGCACCCTTCCGGTTTGTATACCTTCGTTATATGTCTCTTAATTTGTGTACACTTCTTCAAAACCCTTTTCTTAGCATGCTCCCTTGCGGACTTGCTTGTCCTCCAGAACAGCATTACTCCGGGAATTTAGGACTCCGGTCCAGCAGGCCCCTACAGCCCATCTTATGTTAGCTCCATCCTGAGACAGCACGAACGCTGAGCATGCTCCCCCGCGGACTTGCTCGTCCTCCGGGGCATCCTCCATTCGGAATTCTAAGGCTACGACCTCTCAGACCTCCAAGTCTTATTCGCCAGTCCCCTCCAGCGGGCCATGCGACAAAACAGCATGCTTCCTCCGAGGACATGCTTGCCACTCAGGCACCACAGGAATTGAGGTCGCCGAGTCACATGCTTCCTCTTCCTGATAACTTCCCCGGCCTCTTCCCCTCCGGGGTACGTCACAAGCACCTTCTCAAAACCCAGAAACTTCTGCATAAGCACAATGCAAAGACTGTCCAGGCAGTAAGGGAGTCGAGGGAACATCCTCGGAAAAAGCCCTACTCCACACCAGCTGCATTTGAGTAGCAACTCCTCCCTGCGTTAGCGCTCTGCGACGCAGGGAACATCTATTCATCCGCTCAATGGCGCCACCTCTGGCCCTTGGGTCGGTGTGGTATCCACGTCATTGTCTCATGTCGATCCCCATTGTCACGTGAGACTATAACCTCACTCATGACCCTGATGAGAGGGGGCAAGACGGCTTATTGTCTAGTGCCTCACAAAACAAAAAGTAAAATCCCACCGGGGAGATGTCCACCAGTGGCCAAACTATCAGGTCCTTCGGGAGCATCCATATCCTCCTATCCTGAGCAAGTACTGCAATCCCCCAGATGCGTGCCCCAGTCAGAGTAGAACCCCATCACCTAGCTCCCCCGACCGATGACGTACTCCTCCGGATACATGGCAAAGGCAGGAAGAGTCTCTTATTATATACGTAGTCTGACCGTCTCACGGTTTGCTTCCTCTGAAGTGTAATTCCTTCGCCCAATAACGTACTCCCCCGGTTGCGAATAAGGCCGGAGTTGACATCTATTAAGCCGCCTAGTGGTTCGCTTCTCCGGAAGTGTGAATCCCTCGACCGATAACGTGCTCCCTCGGGACACACGAATAAGGTCGGGGTTGAAACCCTTTTTTCGCTTGCTCCTTCGACTAGAGCCACACTCCTTTGCGGTGCATGGCAGGGTCGAGGTTAATGCCCTTCCTTACTTTCCCGGAAGTCCGGACCTCCTAGCTAGTACCATATTCCATCGGAACACGTGGCACATATTGGATGAGTCCTTATTTTTATCGTCTTTAAGAACTTAGGTTCGCCCAGACTAGTACCGTATACCCCGAGATACGCGGCAAGGTTGTCGTGTCAGCCTAATCTTTAAATGGTGGAACGCTTAGGGAATCGGATAACTCATGCTTATTGTGCAGAAAACCCGAGAGAGGTCGACTCCCAGACTCATTTCTTAATCAGTCGAGAAGTAAGGGGCAACCATTGGGACCAATTTTACCACCCCCAACGGGAAGGCGACACGTGGACAGCAAAATTCCCTAGATACTGACACACGCCATGCTAGCTCGGCCGAACCACTCCCATGCACTATTCCTGGGCAGTTGACGAGCTTCTCCAAACGCGCATGAATCATTAAACCACCTGCTCCTCTGGCGCGCCGAATGGAGAGAACAAGGGAGGGAGAAAGCTAGTATAAAAGGAGAGAGATCCCCACACAAGAAGGGGATCGGCTCGACGGACCGATCTAAGGGACCAGATTCTGGGAACTCGTTTCAAAGAGAAGAGGTCTAACCATCCTGAACTGACCTGCACCACCGAACAGCATAATCGAGAGAGGACCTCCCCGTTCCCTCGAGATAATGCCTACCAGGATAAGTTCTTGTTGACTCGGAGCCCTGCCTTTATACTCGATGAATCTTCCTCTTTCAGTACGGAACTCCACTCGAAACACTCTTTGGAGTAAAAAAGAAGATTTACATTGGAGACGGAAAAAAATTATTTTCTTCATCAAATCAATTCATCAAAATGAACAAAGAGATGAGATGAAAGCTGTTAGAGTATTTTATAAAATATAATTTCAAAATTTTTATAATTAATATTTAATATATATTTTTTGAAAATGGAAAATTGATATTAGATTATCCATTGTACTATATTTATTTTCATGGCATAAAGTAAAATATCATTTTTTTACTTTTAAAAGTTTTTGTAAGTGTTATTAATATCTAATATAATTTTTAATTTGAAACTGTCTATCATCGAAAACAATGAAATAATAAGAAATTTTGATTCAATACAAAACAATAGAAACGGTTATAATGATTGTTGTTAAACGTCAAAAACCTTACTGTGTAAAAGCATTACATTTGCGGAAAGTATCAGAAAACTAACAAATACATAAATATTACAATTTACTTATTTCTAACCCGTACATGCATACATAAATATACTTATTTTTTTGTTTGTAAAATTCAGCCATATATTATAAACATATATACACATACTTTGCTATTTTCTTTTAACACATAAAAGCCAAATTTTGATTTTTCCATAAATATGCGCGCGAATATGAATATTATTTGTACAGAAGTTAAAATCGCATGTGAACTTGTCGTGTGTGGAATTTTTTAACCTTGATTATAACTCAATTTTTAAACTTATATTTTTCTGAATCTCTATCTGTTCTAAGAGAGGTGATATGAATGGTACGCTCGCATGTACTGGCCAACCATCTATCTGATCTTAGGATAAGTAAAATGGTAAAACTCATTTTAGTTTAATTTACAATAGGTCAAGAAAAATATATACTTAAAATATATATGTATTTTTTAAAATCATATTGTGTAAGGGGAAAATAGAACATAGTATAGATAATATTCAAAAAATATGTTAGAATTTAATTATTATTTAATATAACTTTAATATTTACAACTATATATCACTGTAAATGCTAGAAAAATAAAAAGCTTAAAATAAATCAGTTTCCAAAAGACACAAAATAATATGAAATGTTTGTGTGATTATTGTTAAACACTAAAATTGAATATGTATATCAATATAACATTTTCAGAATTTATGAAAAACTAATCTATATTTGAATATTACAACTAACTATGTCTATTGAAAAATTATACTTGTGCATGTGTGGAGGTTAACCACCTAGTAAACCTTAAATAAAAAATGAACTATAGAAATTCAAAAAAAACAAAATAAAACACCAAAAACTTGGTAAGGAAACCATTATCTAAATCAAACGCATGTACATCAAAGTTGGATAATTCATGTACATCGAAGTTGGATAATTCATGTACATCAAAGTTGGAAAATTCAATAGTTGTCATTACTATAATTTTACTTCATAAAGTTTATATTTTAATTATTTTATATAAAAAACACTTTTATAAAGATATTATAATTTTGATAATTTCAAAGATATTAATTAAAAAACATTAAACCAAATTATTGATACAAACCAAAGTATAATATAGATTAAAAGCATAGTAATTAATTAGCCACTTCTCTTTCACCTAAATTATCTATCTCAACAATTTTTTCTTCATATAATAATATGGGCCTCTTCATCTTAGGTGTGCATATTAGTTGGGTATCACAATAAAAACTTAAGTAACCCATAAATTCTGCAACATCATATGTGTTTGTATAAGTTCCCTTCTTTGGGCTTTCACATCCCTCATTTGGGATTTTCACTAGGATATTCCCGTATTCGTTAATGAATTTTGGTATCGGTCTAAGTAGCTACGAAATTTGTGTAATATTTCATAGCTTTGGCTATAATATGATCCTACAAAACAGCACCAAGTTTTTACTAACAAATTAGATGTTCAATAAATAATATGAATAATGGAGTTAGTTGGGGGGGAGAGGACCAGCATCAAGCCCATTAACGTCTTTCATTAGAATTGCTACTACACCAGCTCCTGGTAGATGCCCTCCTTGTTTAACTATTTTGTCACACACCAGCTCCTGGTAGACGCCCTCCTTGTTTAACTATTTTGTAACACATTTTTATGGTTCCACCACTCGCCTTTATATTTGTTTCTACATGTTTTTGATCTTGAATCGGGATAAAACTGTCTATGAATGTAGTTTTTTGTGTATATATATATATATATATATATCAATAACTTACCTTTTCAAAATTATTGGATGATTATATGCTATTCCTGTAATTTTAACAAAGGTTGTAAGCAGTCAAATAAATCATTGATCATTTATAATATCAAAAAATTAACTTAGAGAACAAACAAAAGTATTGCCGTATATAATTTTGCATATTATTATTATTTTAGAATATATTTATTAAATATCAAATTATATATATCAAATTCCACAAGAATTTCCTTTTGGACCACCATAATTGAAAAAGAAACCAAGTTCACTAGTAGAATATGAAATATTTTTACCAATTCTTAGTCCATAACATTTCGCACTATCTACCAACTTCTCTATAGGAAAATGATTAATTTTACATTTCTCAAAGTTAGAACTCAGTACTTCAATCTTTGCAAAAATTGCTGATTCTGAAGGTATTATATTAGGAAAATTACCCATACCCATCGGAGGGCTTGAACCAGAATGTGAAGCCTGAACCACACCTCCAGCACCAATCATATTTGCACCATTTTCTAATTGATCAAATAGCTCTTTAGGACAGTAGCCAACATCCTCACCAGGCGCAATTTTTGATAGCCACCAGTTTCCTGTCTGTTTATCCTATTTATATACATTGAAAAAAAAATTATTTGTAGGAGAAGTCTTCAGACTAATAAACGAGGTTATAATTTTCACATCGATCACTAAATTGATTCTATAAAATATCAATTTCATGAATTAATCATTACTTTCTACCACTAAGTGGAAATGACATATATAATAATTTACACTTACAAAAATATATTATATAAAGAACAAAAGAAATATACCATAAAGTTAGAAAAATACCTGATGGATAGAGCAAAGCATCCATTCCAATTTCCCTGGATTAAGGTAAATGGGTTCAGATATTGGAACATAATGCGAGAGTTGAACAAATCCTTAACATGTCGTATTATAACATCCTTTTCCTCCTTTACCCTATTAATTCATGTTTGATAAGTATCTACATGTTCTTTTATGTAAAGATATCAACACACACATTGGACACAATTTCAAAAACCCAAAATAAATTTGTTCGGATACATACCTTCCAAAATCCATATGTCCAAACACGTCCGTCACCAAAAAGAGCTGGATTTATCTGTCAAAACACTAGCAATACTTTAAAACTACACAGAATATCAAATGGATTAGAGGAAAATTAACCAATAAATTGTAAAACTTACCATCCACCCGCAGAGATAAAATTTGCATCTTTATTTAATCCACTGCTTATATATATTTGACTATAAGAAGCTTGATCTTTTCCAACATTTAGGTTAATTCCATTAAACCAAGCTTCTAACCACGAAATGAACCATTATGTGACCTTATTCCAGCAATCTAGCAAAAGCCAGTCACAACGACATTAACTAATACTTCAGATATACATTAAAAACATTTATAAGATCTACGATATTTAGAGAAAATAACTGTTTTACATGTGTTCCAGGGCTATCAGCTGATATCAGATGGGAATTGTTGACAAAAAGCTGCGCACTGCTGATGAATTCTTTTGTATTTCTCAATACAGGAACAGTTCCATATGGACATTTCATTTTCTTAAATGTTTTGTTGTTGCCAATTTGTTTCTTTATTTCATGTCTCGAAACTGATGGTTGCATCTGTTTTGGAAAAAAATTGTGTATAATGAAATTCAAAAATCACCATTCATAAAATAAAACAAAAAATTAAAATGTATGAAAGAGACTAATTTCTGAAACCATGCACCTGGATTGTGTGGTTTCTTAGCAAGGGGTGATCAATTCCTGGCTGCTTATAAATATCTATGCAATCATATGTTACATTGTCGTTTATCTGCCAGTGACAAAAAAATGATTTAAGAGATCTTTTATAATAAAATAACGTTATTTAATTCAGTATATAATATAAAGAGAAGAAGTTGAATCAGCTAAGTAGATACAGGTCACAATAATGTAAAAAAGACATATCTAAAGTTTATTTTATTTTAAAAGCTAACCTTGAAAGATTTGAGAGGTACCATACTTTGATTGGAACGAATTAAAGCTGCTGAGAACAAAATAGACAAAAGTTTCATAATAAGAGCCATCATAAATCTTGTAGACATTTTATTAATTTTGTTTTCCTAAGAATAAAAACCAGAACACTCAATAATTTATAGGGGGCAGCAATAAAATTAGCACTACTATTAATATATTTTTTATTAAGGAAATAGGATTAGTTTCTAATAAATGAAACATATTTGACTGAATTTATTACCTTATAAGAGTATATGCAAAAATAATAAAATATGGTTCATTCAATAGTATATCTTGAAACTTTATAAATTAAATAAATATTAATTGTAGAATAAACTATTACTTTGACCATAAACTAATAAGTTGTAATCAATTGTTTACCAAAAACTTAATACCCCCCTGTTCTTAAAAGAATGATGTTTTGAATAATTTACACATATTAAAACTTAATTAGAAATACATCATTTTTTGTGATTAACATCATTTCTTATAAATTCAAACCAAAAGTAATTTAGTAAATTCAATTAATTCTCTTGAAGTTTACAATTTTTCATCATTGACTAAGAAAAAATGAATAGAAAAGATAAAACATCTATCTTTACAAAATAAAAATAAAGTTGAAAAATCATATTTTTAAAGAATAGAGGGAGTGTAGTAAATATTTTATAAATTAATAATATTAAAACTTTAGTATATCATCATATATCTCCATCGATAAATTAATATTTTATTAATTATAGAGATAGTTTTTGGTTTGAATTCTTGATATTTACAAAAGGAAAAAATATTTTTAACAATATAAAATTTGTTAAAAAATATCATATTAATGAATTTATAAAATTAATAAAATTCATTTATAAACTTGAAATAACAATATTATCATACTTTACTATATTATATTGTTTATATATGACTAAATGTATAGTTTTAATTTATCTAATTATTGAAAATTCCAAGACAATTATTTTCTTATTATTTTACATGTAAAAGTTATATTAATTTATAGATGTTCTACTGTATGTATTTAACTGCTATTTGTCATAAGCAGCTAACTAAATGATTTACATTATCATCTCTAATGTGACTATTTTTTTGTCTCTAAACTCTATTTTTAGAGTAAAATCATCTACAATAATATTATATATCCAACTCTAAAAGTAGAGGTCTTTATTTCTAATTCCAAATTTGGAGTCACAAATAAAAGTCTCTATTTTTTAGAATAAAACTTTTTTTATTTGCAAAATAATTCTTTATATGTTTTTATTTTGTATACAAAAATTATATGTTTTATTTTACACTTAAACAAAGTTATAACAATGATATAAATAATGAGAAATGATTTCTGTGAGAAATATTTAATCTTAGTTAAAATCAAAAAATTATTTTCTTTTTGTTAAACACATAAAATAAATGTATAAATTTTTAATACTTGTAAAACTAAAAGACCTAAACCCTAGCTGCCGAGGAAGAAAAAAGAGTTTTTCTTTGTGGATCATAATCGATGGCCGAAGGCTTCTATAGCTCTGACATCGCCCTGGTTTGTTTCTTTTGCTGTTTTTGTGTGTTTTGATTAGTTTATTTCGATTTATTTGAGACTTGGAAAGATATTTTTGATGTCTTTTGTGAGTTTTCCTCAATGGATTTGGGAAGATAAAAGCTCCAGTTCATGTAAGCTGTTTTAAAGAAATAGCCCTCATAATAACGTCTTGATAATGACATATCATGATTTTTATGGTTTTTTAACCATGATATAAGTCTTTTTATTGAGTTTTTTAGTCTCTTTTAGAGTTCTATTAGAGTCTTTACAAGTTAATGCGTGTTTAGAGCATAATTGGAGTTTTTAGAGCATTATGGAGAAAAACAGGAGTTCTTCCCGACTTAAGCAACAAGGAGACGAGTTGTACTCTTGGTGACGATCGTCACCACCTAATGGGTGACACTCGTCACCCAATCCTGAGGAAGAATCGCAAGTTTATTAAAAGATGAAGGAATAATTGCAGTTTTTGTCCAGAAGTTTCATTAATTGCAAAAGGCCACAATTCGTTTTAGCCTGTATATTTAGGGTTTTCTAGAAAGACATCAAGAGAGATTTATCAAGAGAAAATTTGGATACTCTGTTGGAGAGAAGAATTTGAACCTCCTTATACCTTTATTTATCTCTTTTATGCAATCTATTGTATTCATGATGTTTGTTTCATTCACCATATCTGAGTAGTTTGTTAGTTAGGTTTTGGGTTATTGAAAGGTTGATTACAAATTTTTATAATTGAATTACTGTTGGGATTAATCTGTTAGTTCTTCATCTAGATTTGTGATTATTGCTTATTCTTGCTTCACAACCTAGAATCTGATATTATGTTGATTAATAGATGCAGAAGTATTGTTAATTGTCTGAACTAATCTTAGATGAGCAAAATATATATCTGCAAAGGTTGGTTTAGGAATTTTGTGAACAGATCGAAAGACCTTATTGCTTGTCTGAATTGTTTAAATTTGCAAAGAGATTTTGAATTCTAGGGTTTAGATATAGAAAATCTCTGCAGCAAGAGTTGATTGATTTTATACTAGTGTTTCGAGTTCTAGAACGGTACTTAATAAGTATTATAACAGTTTTCATTCTGCAATTTTGATTTTAACCTGTGAATTTCACAAGGCCTAGCATTTGTCTTCTTGATTTTAAAACCCCCAAATCGAATCTGCTGCTTTTCTTTAGTTTATGTGCATTACATTGTATTTACTCTTAGCTTAATTTTAATCTTGAATTTGTTGTGTGGCATCCTTAAGTCTTTTGGGATTCCGATACCCTTAATACTACATCTGCTTTACTGTGCACTTGCAGTAGTTTTATTTAGGTAAAACTTTGAGACTATCAAGTTTTTGGCGCCGTTGTTGAGGACTTAATAGTTGCCTTCAGATTTTTAGTTTATAATTTTGCCTAAGATTTTGGTTTTGTTACTGACAGTCTCTTGTCAGTTTCAGGTGCATGCCTAATCGAACTACCAGAAGCAACAAGGATTCATAGCTTATCAGACTAGATAATCAAGAGTTAGCACGTCTCGAAAGAACAAACAGGAAAACAAACAAAACTTTTAAGATGGTCGATCTAATAATGCTGATTCAAGGTGAAGATGGTCTGCTACATGACACAGAGGGAAACATGCGCAACCCTCTAGGACCGAGATTAGATGCTGATGGGGTTGTGATTGTTGAACAAGAAGTGCAACCAGTTGGGCAGCAAGAGCAGCAACAGGATGCAGTGAACACTGCTGGGCGTTTTTTTCAGCGCACTCTGGGAGATTACAACATACCTGATCAGTTTTATGAAAATAGTGCTGCAATCCGCCCTCATGCCTTCCAGAGGAATGATTTTGAGCTGGAGCATGCATACTACACTCTTGTGGGTCAGCATGTCTTCCATGGTCTTCCTCATGAGCATCCAATGGACCATATAGAGAAGTTTGAAGATCCGGTGACAAGCATCAAGGCTTATGGAGTCAGCAGTGACTACCTTCTTTGCAAGCTCTTCCCATACTCTCTTGGTGGAGATGCAGCTTACTGGGTAAAGCAGTTGCAACCAGGATCACTAACAACTTGGGAGGGCACCAAGAACACATTCCTCAACAAATTTCTATGATGATGCAAGGTCTGTGGAGCTGAGAACAAAAATTTCTTCCTTTTCTCAAGGACCAACTGAAGCTTTCAAGAGTACCTGGTCAAGGTTCAGATCATATCAGAGGGATTGTCCACACCATGGCTACAATGAAGTGCAGCTGCTAGGAATTTTCTTAAAAGGTGTGGACTTGAGGTATCAGATGGATTTGGATGCTGCAAGCAATGGAAACTTCAACACCAGGTATCAAGAAGACGCCATTGTACTGAAAGTCAAATTGCTGAAGTTAATGCTAAGTTGGATTCACTACACAGCTTCTTGTGGGTAAGAATCACCTATAGAATTTGATTTATAACTTTGTCATACTTTACTATTTAAAAGAAATTATAGAAGATGTTACTTATGTGTTGTTCATGTTGACTAAGTTATGTATAAATTAGTTGTTATATTTTGAATGTAAAATTATTTGTGTAGTATTTTTATTGTTAGTTTTTAAACCAGACGCAGCCAAGATATTAATCATTATAAATTTAAATAATATGTTTGATTTAGAAACTTGTATAACTTACTGTAACTTTATATGGTCATTCATAGTCAATACAAATATTTTAGAAATCATAAATTTTCTAAAACTAAATTTCAAACTAATTTCCTTCTTAGATTTTATTTTTTGTTATTTTACATATATATATAGTAATTTTATATTTTATTTTAATTTATCTAATTTTATACATGTTTGTTATATTTAAAACATATATATTTTTTAATTAATCTCTTTTGTTATTGATTTTTCAAATAGGTAGCATATATCAATTTAATCTCTTTTACATAAATGTTTTTTATTTGTTAAATTTATTTTTACATTAATTTTATTTTAATTATTATGCTATTTTGACATGCTATAACTGGGTATTCTAAATTTTATGTGGACTTTTTTCAAAAGCTTATACTATCATTTGCTTTTTTAAGTTAACTAGGTATTTATCCGCGCTACGCTGCAGAATGTTTTTCTAAATTTTCTATAATGTAAATGAGTATTATATTTTTTTATTAGTGTAGGTTATGTATTTATATGTTTTTAATTTGAATAAACATTGTATATCCTTAATTTTGTATTTTTTGAAATTATAATTTACTATTAAATTTGTTTAGCTAACTAATTATATATGTATATGTAAGAATAAATCAATATATTTTTTAATACCTTCATGCGAATGACAAATGTAATATATTTTCTCCAATAAATTGTCACTTGATTCTCTTTTGTAATTATATAAAGCAAATTATTATTTTAAAAAGATTTATTAATTAATATGATTATCTTAAATTATAAATTAAACATATGTTTCTAAAACTACCAAACTATAATCTATAACATTCATATCAAAATCATTGTTATTGCTTTAGAACTAAATAGAAAATTTGGTTTGAGCTATTGAAATAACGTTTTAGTTGAAGTTAAATAATTAAATTTTGGTTATTGTAAACATGCTTTAA